GCCCACCGGAAAACGCGCGTTAACAGCAGCAGATACTCGTGTCTTGCGTGTTTTGCTTTGTTTTTTCGCAATATAACTCAATAAATCCATCTCTATCGATTGACAACGGTCTAGCATAACTTGGTAATGAATTAATAGTGTACTTCAGTGCGGAGACATCCTTGCTCGCACGACATATCACCCCGCGGATACGAATCAATGAATCGCCTTGTTTCGCCCTTTTTCTGTGTTTTTTCGGCAAGGTACGTACGTCCGGTCTTGACATTGATAAAAACCCAATAGGAGTCACTGCCGCAATGATCGTTGCTGCCCAACAGAAGCAAAAATCAAACCATCAGACCATTAGTCATCGCTCACTAGTCCACTGGCTTGATTTCGGCTTCAACAATCTCACCGTAGTCTCAACACTATACGGTCATCCCTCGGTTAAGGACACGTTTCTTACCTTAAGGACACTCCCCCAGCTAAGGACAAAAGTGTTTTCACAGGCATGGTGGCTCGCAGCATGTACAGCATAAGGAGGGGTATCAACCTTAAGGACACTCCCCCGGCTAAGGACAAAAGTGTTTTCACAGGCATGGTGGCTCGCAGCATGTACAGCATAAGGAGGGGTATCAACCTTAAGGACACTCCCCCAGCTAAGGACAAAAGTTTTTTCACAGGCATGGTGGCTCGCAGAATGTATAACATAAGGAGGGGTATCAACCTTAAGGACACTCCCCGGTTAAGGACAAAAGGGTTTTCACAGGCGTGGTGGCTCGCAGCATGTACAACATAAGGAGGGGTATCGACCTTAAGGAAACTTCCCCGGCTTAAGGACGCCTGTGTAAACGAAAAGCCATGAGTGTCCTCAACCGGGGGACAGCTGTACCAACAGAGACACTCTATATGTAGAGACTTGTGATCTGTCTTGTCTGATGTCACAGAGGAACAAAGTTCACTCGAATACCGTAAATAGTACCGAGCCGAGCGAGCAATGCTCTCCTAAAACAGCAGTGTACGGTCGCCACACCTATCCATGTGCGCTGACCCCTTCTTCGTCACACCAACACAGCACTGAAACTGCCACTACTGTAAGCCTTCACGCAGTATGTTACGCTTCTCCAGGGTCCGCCTGTCGCGAGACCCATTTTCTTCTCAAAGTGAGACACAAGATTCAACGAATTTGTTCCTCACACCCAAAAGCTAGTCCGGGCTGTTTTTTCACCATCAGACAAAAACCATGAACAGAGGCAACACGTCGGTGTGTGGCGTGTGCACTGTGTTCGTGCGCATTTAATACTGTGTGAGTGTGTGTATTGCAAGCAAGCAACGTTGCGGGAGGCCTCTAGGCATCTTCTCTTTTTCGCCCCCCGAAGGTTCTGCGGCGGCATCTACACGAAATGTTTACGAAGTGTTTCGAATATCAATGACGACGCGGTCCTTCCTCCTATTTCGCCGCACCACCGACCGGTACATAATTTGGTGTTGTTTTAAATCGCACCCAGCTATTTTTTGGGTTTTCGGACGAAAAAAATGTGTTATTTATTAAGTTTTATTTCACAATGTTTTATTTGTTTATTGGACGACAAAAAGAGGCCCTCACTTAGATGCTCACATTAATGAAAACGTACTGCCCAGCCTCGTGCAGCATGGCCCTCGGCGACCCCGCCCAAGGCCCGACGCCTGCGCTCTCCACGGTGTAGGCTAGCCTTGTCACGCCTCCCGCGGCAGCGAAACCCTTCACCGAGACGATTGTAAGGCCCCTTTTGGTAGGGTAAGAATCGAAACCGTGGGCACGGAACCGATAAAGAAGAGAGGTAGATAGAGAGAGATACACAGACAGACAGAGAGGGAGACAGACAGACAGATAGGGAGAAAGACAGATAGACAGACAGACAGGGGGAGAGAGAGCCAGAGAGCCAGAGAGCCAGAGAGCCAGAGAGCCAGAGAAACAGGCAGACAGACAGAGAGGGAGACTGAAAAAAAGTGAGACGGTGTGAGAAGTAGAGGGCGAGTGAGAGAGGAAGTACGTAAAAAGGTATCCTAACACCACACCTCCTCTCTCCCTCTCCAGGACCAAATGGCTTCCTTCCTACATGCATCTCCCCTCTCTCCCTCCCTCACTCTCTCTCCATGTCTCACTTGGAAAAGCGGATGGCACGGTCAACCAGCCAGAGGGCGATGGAGGCGGCGATGTAGTACCAAGCGGACGCGGCGTGCCAGAGCATCATCGTCCACACTACCACGAAGAAGTGGTGGGAGTAGTAGAACACCTCGAAGTGCTTCCGTCGCACCTGCCACACAAAAAAGGTGCAGGGTGCATAGCAAATAGTGAAGAAACAAGGAACACAGAAAAGAAAAACATAGTCGGAAAATGTAAACGTGCAGGCTACCGTTTAAGAGAATCGACACAAAAGGAGGCACGAAAAAAGAAACACACGTTTCGAATTGTCCAACCCTCTCATGTACGGAGCCGGCACTTAGATGGAAAAGTTTATAAATGCCAGAGGGGTGACGTGGGTGCTCCATGATGGACCCACAAACAACGCGTTGGTGATGGGCTCCGCACACCCCTCAAAAGAGGTGTCGTCGTTTAGCGGAAAATATATTAAAAAAAAAATCAAAATACTTCCGTCACTACTGTCACCATCACCGACAACAACAACGACGCCGACACCGACACCACCAAAAGAACCACCACATATGAACGCAGCACCTCCTCACCAACAAAAGCGACCATGACAAGAAGAGAGGCAACAACAACGACGACAGCAAACCCTTCTCTTCTCACCCACTGCACCGAGAGCCCGAACATAGTGATCACCATGAACCAGGTGGTGAGGGTGGCGAGGGGTATGGTCCAGTTGTCCTGATGGTAGTCGGTGGGTATCGCGATCGGCCAGTCGTGCCAGAAGTCTCCCTCTTGGGCGTAAACCTGTTGCGGAACAGCCGAGTACGGGATACGCACCAGCCGAGTACGGGATACGGAACAACCGAGAATGGGATACGGAACAGTCGAGCACGGGATACGGAACAGCCGAGATACGGAACAGCCGAGAGCGGGACAAGGAACAGCCGAGTACCGGGTATGGAACAGCCGAGTACCCGAATACGGAAGCAGCCTAGTACCGGATAAACGGAAAACATGACCCATCAAAGACGCGGAACATGATTGAGCCTGAAGAAATCGATAAGCGACACCATCGTGTGCACATGCGTGGGGTGTGTAGAGTTGTATACACACTAACGGCATTTACGCCACGTGAAGGGTGGTGCGTAAAAAACAGGAACACCGGGTCGCCTGTTCCAGGCTGACGGTAGATGGTGACAAACGGAAAGCGTAAGCGTCCGTATCGCAGTGCATGTCTCGGCTCGTGTTTCTTATGGATCCAGCTGCTTTTGGCCACCCAGTACACCTATCTTGCCATGAAATAACGTACCCTCAGCACAAAACAACACCAAGAAGCACAACAATAACAGCAACTACATCCACAACAACAACAACAACAACAACAACAACAGCAGAAGCAACGACACCCACCGCCCAGAAGAAGACCATGTGCACGAGGACCAGCGCCAGGAAGACTCGGGACATCCGGCGGTGGAAGGCGACCATCGTCTCCCACCCGACTCCGAACACCTACATAAAAGCAAACAAGACACAAAACAAGGACAAGACCCCAAGGTTAAGGGAAGCTTCGCTAGCACTGCAAACCGGCGGTGTTGGTGTGGAGCAAAAACGGACAAGAATGTGGGGAAGAGAAACAAGCACATTACACGGCAAACATGATTAACCGGTGATAGCGAGGTTGGCGAGTGGAGCGGAGGAAAGGGACCAGAAAAGTCACGAGAGCAGGAAACGAGTTACTTGACGTTCACACTAAAATACACCGCGTGACATTTGTTTTGCGGCACGAGACTAGCACGCTCCTGTTCTGGCGTTCTTTGTAGGTCTGGCGTCGCCGCCAAATTTCCCATCTCGACTTACCATTATTCGCTTCTTGCCCGTGCGTGTGTGTTCGTCGCATCTGCCCTGGCGCCAGCCTAACCCTAAGCCTAAGCCTACGTGCATCGCCGGGGTTGACTCGGATAGAATCAACACGTCCGGCAGCATACCGAAGAGATACTTAATCTGCTAGATCACGTTCGTCAGCGCCCCCCGCCCGCCCGCGGCGCATTCGGCAACGTGCCGCAAAAAGAACAAAACCTCCCATTCACCCATTTACTGATCTATTCCCAGACTCTTACTGCTGTGGAAGAGATTAATTTGCTGTGTCAAAAGCAAGAAACAAGAAAAAAAAAGTCTCACGTTCTGGAACACGCCGTTTCGCAACACTGGCAGAACCATGAGCCCCATCGTGACGTTCGCGAGCTGGCCCATCGTCCGCGCGAACCGCTCCTGCCACGTAAAGGAGTCGATTGACGAATTGCCCCAGCCGTGGTCCAGATACCTATATAGACACCCACACAAGAAAATATGTACACGCGAACCTTGTTGTTTTCATTCATTCCTTCATTCGTTCCTTTGTATTTTCGTGCCCATCGTGAAGGAAAACTACTTCTGGCAAACACACACACACACACACGGCTCGCGTCTTCTGCATTAATTTTCGTCTATTTTAACGCTTTTGCCATGCTCTTATGTGAAGGTTTTAACTTGTGTCGAGTCCATGGAACGCCACATATACTACAGTTCTTGATCGAAATATAAGCACAGCACGTGCCTTTCGCTTGATGCAACCGACCACGGGCACAAAACGCCATGCCGCGTCTTGCACGAAAAAACGGTGCCTTCCAATACGAAAACCTATCATGCTTCAAAACCGAACCGATCCGTTCTCTTGTTGTTACCTGTGATGTGTTCAAAACTGAAGCGGCCCGCTCGATTATCGCCTTACGCGGCTGTGGCCCCAACACATATGTATCCCAATCAATAAAGTAACCGAGAGAACGACTCACCTACCGCTATCGCCCGCACTTAACGTAAAAACTTGGCAGTCAAGATAACTTGACAGTCAAGATAACTTGGCAGTCAAGATAACTTGGCAGTCAAGAGCAATTGGCAGTGAAGATAACTTGACAGTCAAGAGCAATTGGCAGTCAAGATAACTTGGCAGTCAAGATAACTTGGCAGTCAAGATAACTTGGCAGTCAAGATAACTTGGCAGTCAAGATAACTTGGCAGTCAAGATAACTTGGCAGCTAAGATAACTTGACAGCTAAGATAACTTGGCAGTCAAGATAACTTGGCAGTCAAGATAACTTGCAGTCAAGATAACTTGGCAGCTAAGATAACTTGACAGATAAGATAACTTGGCAGTCAAGATAACTTGGCAGTCAAGATAACTTGCAGTCAAGATAACTTGCAGTCAAGATAACTTGGCAGCTAAGATAACTTGGCAGTCAAGATAACTTGCAGTCAAGATAA